TAGAATTTATGAAAACATTTTAAAATGTTGCAGAATTTTTTTGAAACAAACTAAATTTTTTCCAACGAGTTTTTAAAGTGTTCCAACGAGTTTTAAAAATTTTTAAAAACATTTTAAAATGTTTCAGAATTTTTTTGAAACAATCTAAATTTTTTCCAACGAGTTTTTATAGTGTTCCAACGAGTTTTGAGGATTTTTAAAAACATTTTAGAATTTATGAAAACATTTTAAAATGTTCCAGAATTTTTTTGAAACAATCTAAATTTTTTCCAACGAGATTTTAAATTCTTCCAACGAGTTTTGAGGATTTTTAAAACATTTTAAAATGTTCCAGAATTTTTTTGAAACAATCTAAATTTTTCCCAACCAGTTTTTAAAGTGTTCCAACGAGTTTTGAGGATTTTTAAAAACATTTTAGAAATTATGAAAACATTTTAAAATGTCCCAGAAGTTTTTTGAAACAATCTAAATTTTTTCCAACGAGTTTTTAAAGTGTTCCAACGAGTTTTAAGGATTTTTAAAAACATTTTAAAATGTTCCAGAATTTTTTTGAAACAATCTAAATTTTCTCTAACGAGTTTTTATAGTGTTCCAACGAGTTTTGAGGATTTTTAAAAACATTTTAGAATTTATGAAAACATTTTAAAATGTTCCAGAATTTTTTTGAAACAATCTAAATTTTTTTCAACGAGTTTTTAAAGTCTTCCAACGAGTTTTGAGGATTTTTAAAACATTTTAAAATGTTACAGAATTTTCTTGAAACAATCTAAATTTTCCCTAACGAGTTTTTATAGTGTTCCAACGAGTTTTGAGGATTTTTAAAAACATTTTAGAATTTATGAAAACATTTTAAAATGTTCCAGAATTTTTTTGAAACAATCTAAATTTTTTCCAACGAGTTTTAAGGATTTTTAAAAAAATTTTAGAATTAATGAAAACATTTTAAAATGTTCCAGAATTTTTTTGAAACAATAAAAAAAAATTCCAACGAGTTTTTAAAGTGTTTTAACGAGTTTTGAGGATTTTTAAAAACTTTTTAGAATTTATGAAAACATTTTAAAATGTTCCAGAAGTTTTTTGAAACAATCTAAATTTTTTCCAACGAGTTTTAAGGATTTTTAAAAACTTTTAAGAATTTATGAAAACATTTTAAAATGTTCCAGAATTTTTTTTGAAACAATCTAAATTTTTTCCAACGAGTTTTTAAAGTGTTCCAACGAGTTTTAAGGATTTTTAAAAACATTTTAAAATGTTCTAGAATTTTTTTGAAACAATCTAAATTTTTCCCAACGAGTTTTTACCGTGTTCCAACGAGTTTTGAGGATTTTTAAAAACATTTTAGAGTTTATGAAAACATTTTAAAATGTTCCAGAATTTTTTTGAAACAATCTAATTTTTTTCCAACGAGTTTTTAAAGTGTTCCAACGAGTTTTGAGGATTTTTAAACACATTTTAGAATTTATGAAAACATTTTAAAATGTTCCAGAATTTTTTTGAAACAATCTAAATTTTTTCTAACGAGTTTTAAGGATTTTTAAAAACTTTTAAGAATTTATGAAAACATTTCAAAATGTTCCAGAATTTTTTTGAAACAATCTAATTTTTTTCCAACGAGTTTTTAAAGTGTTCCAACGAGTTTTAAGGATTTTTAAAAACATTTTAAAATGTTCTAGAATTTTTTTGAAACAATCTAAATTTTTCCCAACCAGTTTTTACCGTGTTCCAACGAGTTTTGAGGATTTTTAAAAACATTTTAGAATTTATGAAAACATTTTAAAATGTTCCAGAATTTTTTTGAAACAATCTAAATTTTTTCCAACGAGTTTTAAGGATTTTTAAAAACTTTTAAGAATTTATGAAAACATTTCAAAATGTTCCAGATTTTTTTTGAAACAATCTAATTTTTTTCCAACGAGTTTTTAAAGTGTTCCAACGAGTTTTAAGGATTTTTAAAAACATTTTAAAATGTTCTAGAATTTTTTTGAAACAATCTAAATTTTTCCCAACCAGTTTTTACCGTGTTCCAACGAGTTTTGAGGATTTTTAAAAACATTTTAGAATTTATGAAAACATTTTAAAATGTTCCAGAATTTTTTTTGAAACAATCTAAATTTTTCCCAACGAGTTTTTAAAGTGTTCCAACGAGTTTTGAGGATTTTTAAACACATTTTAGAATTTATGAAAACATTTTAAAATGTTCCAGAATTTTTTTGAAACAATCTAAATTTTTTCTAACGAGTTTTAAGGATTTTTAAAAACTTTTAAGAATTTATGAAAACATTTCAAAATGTTCCAGAATTTTTTTGAAACAATCTAATTTTTTTCCAACGAGTTTTTAAAGTGTTCCAACGAGTTTTAAGGATTTTTAAAAACATTTTAAAATGTTCTAGAATTTTTTTGAAACAATCTAAATTTTTCCCAACCAGTTTTTACCGTGTTCCAACGAGTTTTGAGGATTTTTAAAAACATTTTAGAATTTATGAAAACATTTTAAAATGTTCCAGAATTTTTTTGAAACAATCTAAATTTTTTCCAACGAGTTTTTAAAGTCTTCCAACGAGTTTTGAGGATTTTTAAAACATTTTAAAATGTTCCAGAATTTTTTTGAAACAATCTAAATTTTCTCTAACGAGTTTTTATAGTGTTCCAACGAGTTTTGAGGATTTTTAAAAACATTTTAGAATTTATGAAAACATTTTAAAATGTTCCAGAATTTTTTTGAAACAATCTAAATTTTTTCCAACGAGTTTTTAAAGTGTTTCAACGAGTTTTGAGGATTTTTAAAAACATTTTAAAATGTTTCAGAATTTTTTTGAAACAATCTAAATTTTTTCCAACGAGTTTTTAGAGTGTTCCAATGAGTTTTGAGGATTTTTAAAAACATTTTAGAATTTATGAAAACATTTTAAAATGTTCCAGAATTTTTTTGAAACAATCTAAATTTTTTCCAACGAGTTTTTAAAGTCTTCCAACGAGTTTTGAGGATTTTTAAAACATTTTAAAATGTTCCAGAATTTTTTTGAAACAATCTAAATTTTTTCCAACGAGTTTTTAGTCTTCCAACGAGTTTTGAGGATTTTTAAAACATTTTAAAATGTTCCAGAATTTTTTTGAAACAATCTAAATTTTCTCTAACGAGTTTTTATAGTGTTCCAACGAGTTTTGAGGATTTTTAAAAACATTTTAGAATTTATGAAAACATTTTAAAATGTTCCAGAATTTTTTTGAAACAATCTAAATTTTTTCCAACGAGTTTTTAAAGTCTTCCAACGAGTTTTGAGGATTTTTAAAACATTTTAAAATGTTCCAGAATTTTTTTGAAACAATCTAAATTTTCTCTAACGAGTTTTTATAGTGTTCCAACGAGTTTTGAGGATTTTTAAAAACATTTTAGAATTTATGAAAACATTTTAAAATGTTCCAGAATTTTTTTGAAACAATCTAAATTTTTTCCAACGAGTTTTTAAAGTCTTCCAACGAGTTTTGAGGATTTTTAAAACATTTTAAAATGTTCCAGAATTTTTTTGAAACAATCTAAATTTTTTCCAACGAGTTTTTAAAGTGTTCCAACGAGTTTTGAGGATTTTTAAAAACATTTTGGAATTTATGAAAACATTTTAAAATGTTCCAGAATTTTTTTGAAACAATCTAAATTTTTTCCAACGAGTTTTAAGGATTTTTAAAAACATTTTAAAATATTCCAGAATTTTTTTGAAACAATCTAAATTTTTTCCAACGAGTTTTAAGGATTTTTAAAAACATTTTAAAATGTTTCAGAAGTTTTTTGAAACAATCTAAATTTTTTCCAACGAGTTTTAAGGATTTTTAAAAACATTTTAAAATATTCCAGAATTTTTTTGAAACAATCTAAATTTTTTCCAACGAGTTTTAAGGATTTTTAAAAACATTTTAAAATGTTCCAGAATTTTTTTGAAACAATCTAAATTTTTTCCAACGAGTTTTAAGGATTTTTAAAAACTTTTTAGAATTTATGAAAACATTTTAAAATGTTTCAGAATAAAACGTTTTTTGGTACATATTTCTGGAATTATTTAGGGAACTCAATAAAAACTCGTTGGAAAAAAAAATCCATCAAATTTCATTGAATTTTGAAAATCCAACGAGTTTCGATAAATAAAAAAAAATTGGAAAATATTTTTGAGATTTTTTAAAACATTATAAACTCGTTGGAAAAAAATTATCCAACGAATTTCAAGAATTTTTACAAGTAAAAAATTTGTCCAACGAGTTACAAATAATTTTAAAACGTTTTTTGGTATTTCTGGAACTCAATAAAAACTCATTAGAAAAAAAAATCCATCAAATTTCATTGAATTTTGAAAATAATTGATCCAACGAGTTTTCAAATTTTTAAGTTTTCAAAGGGCGATGAGCAAATTTCTAATATTTTTTGATGCAGGCGCCGCCTCCTCCACCTCCGTCACAATCCAGCACCAGCGGCGATTTATCTCTGAATCTGAGGTCCGGGTCAAAGACTACCAGTGCCCCAAGCTCGCCGGCCAAATCCAGAGAAAGTTTGCTGCAGCGCGTGCAATCTTTGACAGGTCAAGCCCGAGACCAAGGAGCTTCGATTTTGGGAGCTGCCGTATCGAGGTAAGCAATATCGATTGAGTTATCGAAAAAAGAAGTTTAGCTCAAAAACTATTAAAGATACGTCAAAATGACCTCGGTAGTGATTTGTAGAAAATTTAATTGGCTTTCTTTTGAGCCTAATTACATAAAAATCGGATTGAAATTAACAGAGTTATGAGGAAAAATGTGCGTCGATGTCGTTTTAATTTTTGTCTATCGATAAATGAAAAATGAATGCACGTCACTGTGCCAATCAATTTTCTCCAAAAATCGATATCGAAAAAAAAAAACGATATCCTCATTATAACACAATTTTAAAATTTTTCAGTGAAAAATAACCCAATTGGAAATTAATGAATATCAACAAAATTTTAAAAAAATATACATAAGAATTGATTTTTTTCCAGTGCCACCAGTAGAGTAACGTCTTCCGCTTCCTCCATCTCAGCTCGCCATCTCAGTCTTTTGGTACTAGACGACCAAAACACCGATTGGAGCAAATATTTCCGAGGTAAACGAATCGGCGAGTACGAAATCCGAGTGGAACAAGCAGAATTCAAGGAAATCACTGTGTCAGCCAATGCGGATGGGGCTTGGGTCACTATGGGAGTTTTCCGAGGTGGTACCAGAGTGGGTAGGAATTTTAGACCCGATTTTTTGTTGGTAAGTGATAACTAATTATAACTGGATAATTTTATTATAATATGCCAATCGTAACCACTTAAATTGTGAAGAAATTTGAGGATAAATTAGGGGAAATTTGAAATACAGATTACTGTTTGTATGTGTTAATTTCAGGTGAGACAAAATCTAAAAGATGCCGGAGAAGACCACAAAAAGTTGCTTTTAGCCCTAAAATTCGGCGGAGTTCCAAGTATTAACAATTTAGACGCAATTTACAATTTCCAGGTAACAAGTTTTCCTTGTGAAAACTACAAAAAGCATCCTTAAATTGCTGTTTTTTTCTATAGGATAAACCTTGGGTCTTTGCTCATTTGGTTCAAATTCAACGAAGACTGGGCAAAGAAAATTTTCCATTGATCGAGCAAACATTTTATCCTGATCATACTGAAATGGTGAGTGACTGAGGGTCTTGCTCCACAAACTCGTTGAATTTTCCATTTTTTTTTTAAATGAATTTTTGCCATTTTTCAATGAATTTTTAAAATTTTCCAACGAGTTTTTAGTGTTTCAAAATGTTTTTTTTTTTAATAAATAATTTTTTTTATAGATTACTACCCCTCGATTTCCGGTTGTTTTGAAAATAGGCCACGCCCATGGAGGCCTGGGAAAAGTGAAAGTTGAAAATTTCAATGATTTCCAGGTAAATTTTTCAATATATTTTTCTTTTTTTTTTCTGAAAATTTTAATGTATTTTTTTTTTTAAATAGGATATGGCAAGTGTAGTGGCAGTAGCCAACACCTATTGCACAGTGGAGCAATATATTGACTCCAAGTACGACATTCATGTGCAAAAAATCGGAAATAATTATAAGGCGTTTATGAGAAAATCGATTTCTGGTAAGTATATCTAATAGAGAATTTAATGGGCTTTATTTTGAACCTAATTACGTTGAGATCGGATTACAATTAACGGAGTTATGGGGCAAAATGAGTATTAAGTAATATTATTTTTGAGAAAAATTAAATTTCGATATTTTGACTTTGAGGCGTTGCAGCTGCGAAAATATTGAAACTACGTTGAAACGATCTTATAGACATTTGTAGAGAATTTCATTGGCTTTATTTTGAACCTAATTACGTTAAGATCGGATTACAATTAACGGAGTTATGGGGCAAAATGAGTATTAAGTAATATTATTTTTGAGAAAAATTAAATTTCGAAATTTTGACTTTGAGGCGTTGCAGCTGCGAAAATATTGAAACTACGTTGAAAGGATCTGATAGACATTTGTAGAGAATTTCATTGGCTTTATTTTGAACCTAATTACGTTAAGATCGGATTACACTTAACGGAGTTATGGGGGCAAAATGGGTATTGAGTAATATTATTTTTGAAAAAAATTAAATTTCGAAATTTTGACTTTGAGGCGTTGCAGCTGCGAAAATATTGAAACTACGTTGAAACGATCTTATAGACATTTGTAGAGAATTTCATTGGCTTTATTTTGAACCTAATTACGTTAAGATCGGATTACAATTAACGGAGTTATGGGGCAGAATGTGTATTAAGTAATATTATTTTTGAAAAAAATTAAATTTCGAAATTTTGACTTTGAGGCGTTGCAGCTGCGAAAATATTGAAACTACGTTGAAACGATCTTATAGACATTTGTAGAGAATTTCATTGGCTTTATTTTGAACCTAATTACGTTAAGATCGGATTACAATTAACGGAGTTATGGGGCAGAATGTGTATTAAGTAATATTATTTTTGAAAAAAATGAAATTTCGAAATTTTGAATTTGACGCGTTGCAGCTGCGAAAATATTGAACCTACGTTGAAACGATCTCATAGACATTTGTAGAAAATTTCATTGGCTTTATTTTGAACCTAATTACGTTAAGATCGGATTACACTTAACGGAGTTATAGGGCAAAATGAGTATTAAGTAATATTATTTTTGAGAAAAATTAAATTTCGAAATTTTGACTTTGAGGCGTTGCAGCTGCGAAAATATTGAAACTACGTTGAAAGGATCTGATAGACATTTGTAGAGAATTTCATTGGCTTTATTTTGAACTTAATTACGTTAAGATCGGATTACAATTAACAGAGTTATGGGGCAAAATGAGTATTAAGTAATATTATTTTTGAGAAAAATTAAATTTCGAAATTTTGACTTTGAGGCGTTGCAGCTGCGAAAATATTGAAGCTACGTTGAAACGATCTCAATGATATTTGTAGGGAATTTCATTAGCTTTATTTTGAACCTAATTACGTTAAGATCGGATTACAATTAACGGAGTTATGGGGCAAAATGTGTATTAAGTAATATTATTTTTGAAAAAAATGAAATTTCGAAATTTTGACTTTGACGCGTTGCAGCTGCGAAAATATTGAAACTACGTTGAAACGATCTCATAGACATTTGTAGAGAATTTTATTGGCTTTATTTTGAACC